AGAGAGAGAGAGAGAGAGATCATAACAGCTGGATCTTGATCATAGTCTCTCACTCCTCCTCCTCTCTGTCGTGTCTCCTCTTCTAGTAGTTTATTCTTCATTTTCTGAGAGCCTCAGTGCCTTTGCTTCACTTCTCACCAGCAGATCTGATTTGAATAAGGACCAGAGATCTTTGCGGATTGTATTGAATCAAATATTTTTGCGTGAACACCCAGCAATCCTATGCGTAACTGCATCCACACTATCATTATCCCTTCTATCAACACGGATGTCCAGCTTCAGGGAGAGGATATGTATCAGGGCATAATGACAACCAACCACGGACCCGCTTCCTATGAGGCCGGATTTCTCCACAACGCCTCGGCGGGAACCTCTCCGGTTTATGTGCCCACCACCCGGGTCGTCACCCCCATGATTCCGGCGCTGCCTTACCTCCAGACGCCCGGCGCGTCGCAGCAGAGCAGCCCCGTGTCGAGCCATTCTGCCTGGGCGCAGCCGGGCGCCGACTCTGTGCCCTCGTACAATCACTCCCCGGTGTCTCCGCGCTTCGCCTTCTCCACCAGCCCGCCTCTGTCCTCCGGGGTGGCAACGGCCCGAGAGACGGCCGCTTCTTACAACAGTCCGCTAAACATTTCTGCCAACGGGAGGGAGCACTACGGGGCCCGGAGCCTTGGCGGGTCGTATCACAGTCCTTACCCGGCCTACATGAGCCCCAACGTGGGTGGAACGTGGTCGGCGTCCCCCTTTGATAGCCCGGTCCTCCACGGTCTCCAAACCGGCGCTCACCCTGGCGCAACACGGCACCCAAACATAGGTGAGCAACAGGAAACTATGCATTTTTTAGATTTTATTTTATCATTTAAATATTTTCTTTAGGTGTCATGAACAATAAAGGGTTTGGATTTTTTGAAAGTTATCCAGACAGAAAACTATCAGCTTTAATATCACCACTAAAAGTGTCGATGCTGTTGATAAAAAGAGAGAGCAGCATGTCTGTTTTATTTATGTATATTTGTCAGGGTTTAATGAAGGGTTAATGGCCACAATAACACACACACAGAACAAGGTGAGGGGGTTGCAAGGCCAATTTCTATTTTTATTCTTTATATAAAAACATATATTTATTTTGTAGGCCTATATATATATAAGTCCAGGATTATCTTAAAAAAATAAATAGCATGTTAGCATGCTGCAGGACAAGTCTTAAAAATATGTCTGCACGTAAAGCAGAAATCATCTCTTAATTAACACCCATCAAGATTAAAGCAGTTTTAATTGACACACTAAACACACCATTGCACTCATTTAAAAGGCCTGAAATAGGATTTAAAAATGACTCGTAAATCAATTTAATAATAATACAATAGATCTCTCACAATATCTCACAGAATTATAAATTATAAGCGGTTATAATTACATTTTAAAAAGGTATGACATGGAATTTCCGCAGAACGAAATATGAAGACAAATTTAAATGAATATATAAATAATTTTTTTTTTTTAATCCTTACATTTCATATTAAAAAAAAAACACACCAACTAAAACATTAACGAATTTTAGAAAGTTATAGCAGCCACATGAGATATGATAATAAATTCACCACAGACACAGTGCGTCCCAGGTGACTGCTGATTGTGACCTTTGAACCCTTTTTTCTTTACGTTACATTATTATTACTAACAGTAATAATATAACAACACCAACGTATTTTTTAAGGCAGTTAATATCATATAGAAACCACATTTTATTTTATCATAAAATGTAACTTATATCTTTATTCCTAAAATATCAGAGTCGTTTGATCATGTTTACGGTTGGTTGAGAGTCTGTACTGGCTGCTCCGCTGCATTATATTTGTGTTACTATCAAACGTGTCAGGTATATTACTTTATTAGGTATAGCTTACATTACCTGTTACTTTCATGTGTCTGGAAGTGAGATTTTACACGTTAAAACAACATAAAATAATTGAATGATATTATGCACAAGAAAAAAAGGCAGGAGTTCTATTTCATAAATTTTTTATAAGGCTTCTCTTTTATAATGATTTTCCTTCATTGATAAGAATAAATAGGCCAGGCTGAGTTAATTAATGTAGCCTAACATTTACTCAGATGGCTATTTTTACACACAACTGCCAGGCCTGTGATATAAATATGTTTTGTATATTTTTATGAATCAAAGACACATTATTGGAGTGATAGAAATTAATATTTAACTGAGCCTGAATTGATAACACAGTTTATGGGGATTATGGTTTATGAGTTGTGTTTGACTGTGGCCTCATAAGGTCAGATCTGATTTGATATAAAGTGTGTTTGAGCCGGATCCTGATCAGCAGCACAAGACTAACTGAGTCCTTTCTGTCAGTGAGGATACAGCGAATCCTTTTTCATTATAAAAAACATGAATATTTGGAGTAATTTGAACCCTAACAGTCGGCTTCAGCTTGGCTCAGAGTGGATTTGGTCTCTATAGCTGCATGTTGCCCTCTGGACCATATCAACGCAGTGATTTTGCTTAGCTTGTCAGTCCTTCAATGGCCACAACTTGTACCTTGTATAGTCTACTTTACTAATCAGCGTTGTGTTTATTTGACCTAAAGTTCTTCCATTATCTGCATTTTCTGCACTGCTGGCAGCTACAGGGTGATGGACGTCTAAAGCATTTCATTTGAATATATTCCCATTTCATTATCATGTAATTTACAACTTAATCTGACAGGCTGGATCATTATTAGACGTATCACTTATTATTAGTATCAACAGTTGATTAACAGCTGATAATTTCCTCTTTTATATATATATATATATGCCACTCCATCCGCCTGCAAATTAAATACCTGACTGGCCGATGTTTCAACCTAAATGTTCCCATCAAGACAAACTCTCCTATTTGATGAAGAAAGAAAAAGATCAGCTGTCAGAGTGTAGATAACAGCATTGATCCGCTCTGACCTCTTCATCTGATTACAGTCACACTCAACTCACAGGCTGTTTACACTGATGGATAAACTGCTAACAGGCTTCAGCTCACTGTTTTATAATCACATCTAATTTAATGAGATCTCAGTGTTTGATTAATAGGCCGTTCAGTGAAAGTCTCTGTTCTTCTGTTGGTGAAGAGGAGAAAGAGAAACTCCCTCAGCTGTAAGGTCACTTATCTTCAAGAGAAATGAGGGGAGAAATGAATCACATTGGGAATCTTTTAATGATCATCACATAAAAATATGTAAATATTTAAGAAAACAACTCATGAACATGTTTGTTAAATACAGAAGTTAAGCATCAGATGTTTAGCACATCATGCCTTGATATGATAATTCTTTCTTAAATCTGATCTTGCTTAGGTTGGAAAATGATTTAATGTAAACATAGATATCATCCTCCTACAAGAGAACCTTTTTATGAAATATGTTTTGTTTATGTTTTGGACAAATACCATGATTTTATTTTTTATTATCACTCTGATGGGATTCTGGCAGTACTAAAAAGTTAAACATGTTTCCGTCACATACAACAAGCCTTTCTTAGCCTTTGAATATAATATAAAAAGACATTAACACTTTAATATTCTCTCCCTTTGTGTCATGTTGGCAATTAACATACACAAATCTTTCTGCAGGTCGCTCTGCTTTTGAGTGAACAGTGGAGGAACAAATGTTACAGTAAAGTCAAATATAAAAAGCAACAAATATATAAAATGCATAAAATATCAAAAGAATAGTAAGAATGAACAAGTTAATTCATGCAATAAAACTCCTGTACTGAAATTTATTGATTTTTAATACCATCTATTTTGTGCCACAATAAATTATAATTTGGGGGCTTTTCCAAGCACATGTTGATATATGTGATGTCATTGTTTGCGATTCGCGATTAAATCAGCTAATATTTTTCTGCCACCCTTTTGCCCCTCCATGAATATTTCTCTGGATCCAACCTTGTTTTTATAATGTTTTTATAATTTTGTGTTTTTTTTTCTGTAAAACAGAGTAATAAGTATAAAGTAGCATAAAATACAAATTATCAAGTAAAGTACCTTAAATTTGTACTTGTACTTGTAGGTTGTTGGGCTTCACCATTTCATATAGCAAATGTTGACTGACCATATTTACATCAAATGTTAATAATTTGATTATGTTTTTCATATAAAGTCTCTAAGTAAGACAGCATTAAAAGTATAAAGGAGTAAAAAAAGGAAGTATTCATGTGAAAGTAGCCCAGAACTGTATTTAGATAAAGCTGAGTAAATGAACTTCGTCACTGTAGTCCCTCATTAACTTCACATATTTCACAGTAGATTGAGTCTTTTATTTATTTTATCACTTTTGTCCTCTAATAGTGTTACTGTGGTTGTTTTTAAAATGCACCCTGATAGAAACACACTGACATTTCTCCAGCGGAAAAAATAAACCTGCATTGAGATGCAGTATTTCTCTGGTGTATTGTCTTGTGTTACTGCGTTGTGTTGGCTACAATTGCTGCCTGGCTCAAGGTTAGCTTGCCCTGCGGTCTTTGTTTTGCTCTTAGCCTTGGAGGAGGCCAGCATATGTATCAGTGCCATTCCTGTAACCCTCTGCAGCGAGGGAGGAACAGATGGAGGCCAGATTTGAACTATGTGAAGAAGAAGAATTATGCACAGTGGAGCGTACATTTCAAAATGGAACATGGGCTGATTTAAATGTGACTTTTACACTTAAGTTATTTTTTCCCCCACAATTCTATTTCTATTCTCGGCATAAACTCACATATCTGATAAATGTTGTAACCTGTAACTGTTGGTATCAATGCTAAATGAAGCCTAGCTGTCACTTCCACACTACAGATTGATGTCTCCTTCCCCTTAATGGCTAAGTGGTTCTTTGGAGATACTCTGTTATGTGCCAGATGAGAGAGTGAAGATCGCACTCATCAGATGTCATGCTATCTGACAGAGAGGCAGAAAGAGATGTGATAGACACAGAGTTTCTATCTGAATATGATGGAGCTCTACTCCATCTCTATTTCTAGCCGACTCTTTATCTCATGAGGAGCAGTGAGATAAGGAAGGATTCCAGGCTGCTGTTGTGTGGGGCTGTAGGACCTGAGCCTGCACCTCCTGCTGGTGTAGAAATGCCACAGCAGTTGATAATCACCCTGTCAGGATCTGACAGAGCAGGAAACTGTTTATTAAAGGAGAGTGGAAAGATTTTTTTGTGGCATGAGGCCAGCTGGAAGTTAATTTCTCTAAGAATCACAGAAATGAGCTCAGGTTGGGCCAATAATATGAGCTGCACGTGTACGATGTGGTAATTATGGCTGACAGACATGAATTGTCACTTACTGCCAAAACACATTAGTAAAACAACTTTTCAGAAAAACTGCCATGACTTCAATTTGATCATTTTAGTTTATCCAATGAAGTTTTAAAAGAGTTTTAATAATAAAAAATATCATTATATTGTTATCATTAATTTATTTTTAAATTCTTAGCTAACATTGTACAATAGTGGGAGAAATACATAATTTACTTAAATAAAAGTAGTAAAAATGTTTTACTTAAGTAATCACTCACTATACTAAATGGTTCATTTCAAAATAATGCCAATAATGTATATTGTTATGTTATTGGATTATGATTATTAATGTATGTATCACTTTAATGTTGCAGCTGGTGAAGGTGGAGTTAATTTTAATGACTTTATATACTGCTGGGTAGCTTAATATAAAAAATCTAATATTTTATTTGTTGATAATAATATAATAATATTTTGTATTAATTATGTGAATCTGTAAATTAATCAGTAACTCAGTGACTCAGATAAATGTAAGAGAGTAAAAAGGTATGAGGTAACTTAAATTTAAATACTCTAGTAAAGTAATTAAACATTGTTGTTAAGTACTTGAGTAAATGTACTTTCTCCATCGCTGGCACTGTGTGATAGTTGAACTGATAAACTGTTAAAAAAGAAGCTATTAAAGTTACAGTTCTTATACGCAGATCACTGTAAGAAAAATTAGATTATTATATTTCTTTCTTGTCTTCCTTCTTCAGACCTGTTTGATGACTTTGCTGAGGGGCGAGAGTGTGTGAACTGTGGGGCGATGTCAACCCCCCTCTGGAGGCGGGATGGTACCGGCCACTACCTGTGTAACGCCTGCGGACTGTACCACAAGATGAACGGCATCAACAGACCTCTTATCAAACCTCAAAGACGGCTGGTGGGTGACAGCAGAGCACTTTTCACACGTGTTATACTGTGAAGTAATACAGTGTGTTACATGGACGATAGATTTACCTGCAGTGGAAACATTTGAGTATTTTTTCATAAATAAAAATTAAACAAATATCCTTTTTTAACTGATGCAGTCTGCCTCGAGGAGGGTGGGCCTCTCCTGCACCAACTGTCACACCACCACCACCACCCTGTGGCGACGAAACGCAGAGGGAGAACCAGTCTGCAATGCCTGTGGCCTCTACATGAAACTCCATGGGGTGAGAGAGAAAGTGCATCTCTGATACTGCTGAAATCTTGTATATAACCAGTTTAAACACTTATTTACTTGAACCTCAAACTGGAATTTGCAAAGAGTAAAAAGAGTAAAAACAGAAGATCTAAATATATATACATCAAGAAAGTGAATACACATTTATGCACAATATTGGTAGTGGAGTTCATAACATCCAATAATAATGTCATTCTGACCTAAACTTACAGATGTCTGAGCAGGTTTTTATTTTTTACCTGTATCCAAATGAACTTAAACCACTGACTGCCTAAATGGTAGCAAATCCTTCATAAAGGAACTAAAAATTACGACAATCCCCGCAGTTTTTGAAAATGTATTTTTAGAAATTTAAAGGTTATTCCTTTTTTCTTGGTGTCTTGACAGGTACCACGACCCCTGGCTATGAAGAAAGAGGGGATCCAGACCCGCAAACGCAAACCCAAGAATCTCAACAAGTCCCAATCTGGTGAGCTTCAAAACCGAAAAAGTTCTTCTGCTTGTGTGTACTGTATGTAGATACAGATAGATAAACAGGTGACGGCACATAGAAGAGTTAAATTAGGGCTCCCCTCCCTAAAACCCCTGACCATCATTATTGTATGTACGATAAAACAAACTGGGAGTAGGGAAAACATTTATTTGAATAGAAACTAAGTAATTTGTAGCCTCATTGTCCTACTTTCCCCTCAGCTTTTGCATCCCATGAATGAGCAAGTATATGTATTTTTCTATATGTCATGTGAATATGTTACAATACCCATTTACCCATTCACATGCGTATACTATCTTTGAATGTGTATTGACCTCAGTTCTGTGCTCCACAGGGACCCCTGGCAGTGAGGGGACTCCAGTCACACCGAGCAGCACTCCCCGTGCCTCCACCGCTTCGGAGGAGCCTCGCCAGATAAAGACAGAGCCGGACACTCACAGCTTGTACACACACCACAGCGCACATGCACAGGTTGGACACCTTTTCAGTTGAGTTATACAAAGTATTCATATCTAAAAATTTCTTTTAGAAATTTTAGTTATGATGAAAAAACTGGTAGAGGCGCACATTGATCATTACATTCAGCATTATTCAACATTAGAATAGTATAAACACAGAAAATTGTGTTTCCTGAAGGGACAGATAACAGTTAAACTGCTGTTTAGAAATGCTTATTATAAGCCAAATTCTACAATATGGAGGAACAAGAAAAGGGGAAAAGAGGAAAATCTATTATCTCAATGTAAGTGTAATTCCTGTACTCACCATCTCCATCTGTATCGCTCTAGATTTCAGCCCTGCCAGCCTACATGGCAGCTCAAAGTGGGGCCATTCCTCTCAAGATGTCCCCTGGGGGCCACGGCGGGTCTTCTGGCTCCAAACCTGAGCCCTGGAACAACCTAATCCTGGCCTAGAAGATCTGCAACCCGGCATCTCAAACCAAGCTATCTACATAGATTAAACTCTCCACAGAGACGAGGGTCTGCAGACAGCAGACTGCCGCTCTGGATGCAGACGTTCCCACAGCCTGCACACCTCTCAGTGCCTTCAGTATAGCGCTCTGGGACAAATACGTGGGTGCCACAAAAGACATGGAGATCTTAAACAGAACTGCACAGATGCTGCATGTTCAATCACAGCAACCGAGGACTGAATGGAGTTTGTGTTAGACAATCATGAAAGAGCAGCACTGTGATTAGACACACTACAACTCCTGATATGGAAACTACGCTCTCACCTTTTCTACCAGCGGAGAGGCATTAAGTGTTTGATAAATACTGTAACATAAACCAGTGACACATAACAGTAATGGTCAGACTTTTTGTCCCTGAGTTATTTTTATTTCAGTGTATTTGTCTTCAGTTTCATATTATTATAGACAATTTACCATAAAATGAAATGAAATCATTAAACATGTAAAGAACCACACCTTAATGTCAAAAGTTGTACCATGGAGGAGTTGTAGCAAGTGTAGTTAAAGGGTTTCTTCACATAATAAGAAAAACTATATACTTTAACACTCACAAGTAGTATTTACTTGTAGATATGCCACCACAATGCAATGGAGGGAAATGGCATTTTGTTTGTGGTGCTGAAAGTTTTTTCAAAAAGCTCTTTCCAGAACAAATGTGTTGGTTAGGTAACATCCACAAACCTCAGTGTGGTCAGTTTTCAGTATTTTGTATGTTCGGTAAATGATTAAACTTTTCAGAGGTAGTGAGGTCTGTGGATTATCCTATAAAGCACTTTGCTATTGAGTTTTTCAAAGGGTTTAAATTAATTGAGCACCACAAACAAACATCCAGTCATTATAGTTTTAGTAGGGTGGCTCAGTCTCAGCAGCAATGTCTCAAAACTTAACGTAAGGACAGGAAAACTATCTTGGTATAGTCGCTTATTTGCAATGAGTGTAATATCACACTGCATCTAATTCTAATCTAATCTAATTCTACAAAGACAATCTGATTGGGAGCGTTCCTAATAAACTTACTGTAACGAGAATTGCTCAAGACATCCATCACTCCTCAACACCAGTGATAAACATGATCTCCTTCTCAGTGCAATAGAAACAGCTCCCTGGTGGCATGTTGTTTCTGGATCTGTTGCCTGAATTGTGTACTTTTGTCCGTTTGATTGAAAGTGTTAAAAAAAAAAAAGAAGAAAACATGTCAGTGTTGACACCTCTATGGAAAAATAATGTTTGATAAACTACCTATGCAGCAAGTAAGTTGGACATGATGAATGTGGATGGAGGTGATAGCAAGCAGCTCCCTCTGCTGACAGAAGCGCAAATGTGTGCACCCATAAGAAAACTTTTTTTTTCTTTAATGCTTGAGGGCCTTTCAAAAAAAGAATCCTGTTAGTATTTATTATTGACAGCACAACTCCAAACCACACATTTATCACCTTTCAGCTGAAGGTTGTTTAATAAACTTTATGAAGCAATGCTTTAATTTACTTGTGACAAGCAACATGTGTAAATGTGGGATATCGCCACGTGTAATTATTACCAAAATAACAAATATATGAGCATATATGTAAAAATCCACTCTAGTATAATTGTAATACACCATTTGTGATATATTGTGAGTAAAGACACAGTGAGAGATGGGCATTTCTCAGTGTGCGCTAACACTACCTGATGCCCTTTCCCCTGTGTGCAACTGTAGCTCTACTGAGGAAACTAATAAAGACAAAACATTTCAATGTAAATGGTATTTATGATGTAAAGGTTTGGTGTCATTCATTCCACTTCAAATGCATACCCAACACTTGTGAACTATTTAAAGAGTTTAGTTATCGGACAACTTTTGAATCTTCCTCTGAAAACTGTATCCTTCCAATTTGTAAGTACTCTTTTGTGAACTTCACAACATCTTTGATAAAAAGCTGGACGGTGGATTGATTGAAATCTTCAGTCAGCTTCTCCCTGATGGACTCGGCATATCTATCCTGCACCATCTCCCTCCAACACTGTTGAAATGTGAGTCTTATTTGATCCTGGATGGGGTCAGATACTGGTGAACTAAAAGTGTAATCGAATGCAAATGCCCATCCTTTTTCTAAACATTCCTCAAAACTTCCACTTTTTTCTGAAAGCAGAGCTCGTGCAGCTTCAACCACGGTGTTCACCTCCTGGCTGAAGATATTTTTCTCATCTTCTGTTATAATACTATGCATTCTTTTGAAGTAACTCTTCCAGTCCTGGCCCTGCACAATGTTTATCGAAGGGAAACTCACAGATCTCGGGAGGTGTTTCACAGCAGAAAACAGGTTTTCACATAAAGGAGTAACATCTGTGCTCTTTTCAGCTGCTTTAATGTAGCTCTCATGATCATCAGTCTGATCTATAAAGTCCACTTGGCTATAGTTAACGTCCCTGAACAGATTTTCTTTAGTTCCTTTGAAGCCCCAGCATTTTACATAACCTACATGAGTCTTGACTCCATACACACTCCACCACTCCTGAGCTTTCTGAACCAGGTTCAGCATGCATGGACCAGTGTTTCTAGCCAAACATGGGCTGTTCATGGTGAAAACATACACCTTCCAGCCTTGTGAGACAACCTCCGACTCTAGAAGTTCCTCGGTTTGTTTAATAATGATGTCCTCGCTGTGCTCTCCGTTGTTGTAATTTGGATAATAAGGTCCATACATGACGATCTCCTCCTGTTTCTCAAGAACGGCCCATGAATGCTGCTTATCTTCTGCGCCACATTCCTCAGTGAAGTCATGGTGAAACTCCAAAAATTTCTTGTTTACCGAGTCATTAAGGAAAATGTCATTGGAGGCTTGTCTGAGCTTGAGATGCTCCAGTACTTTCCGTACAGAGTACTGTGTGTCAGTCCAGGACGATATCTGCTCAAAGAAGCTCTGAGTGTCAGTCAGGTGTTTGGTGGCTTCTGGTGTGCAGAAGTGACCACAGGTTGTCCTGTAACATAAAGACATCTCACTGTAAGGCATAAAAGGCTTGGGTGAATAAAGCACAAAACACTGCTTCTCATCTGTAAATATACACAAAAATAAAATGTATGAATATAGTCAAATTACTTATTTAATTGCGGGAAACAAATAGCCTGGCTCCACCTACCAGCACAATTAAAGGTCAGTAATTAGATTGTGATATGTAGTTTGTTCAGTCTGTACAAATACTGAAGCAAGAAAAACAACTTTGGTTTTGACTCCAGGCAGGGACTGGAAGAAGTACACCAAGATGGCCAAGAAATAGTTAATAGAAATAAGTTGCCCCCTGTTTCCAGTCTTTGTGCTAAACTAAGCTAACCGGTTGCTAGCTGTAAATCATTTTTAATAGACAGACATTAAAGTGGTATTTAACTGTGCAAGAAAGGCTATACGTGTATTTCCTATAACTAAATACTGTCTGACTTGTGTAATGTAAATAAGATTTCTTCATATTTCATGAAATGGTTTCAGAAAATATGTCTTAAAAAACATTTACAGACCAAGAGAGCTAATTATAGATCATTGTTTCATTAAATGAAAAACAAATGTGCTGAGAACTGTTTGACACAGTGAAAAGTGTCTTTTCTATAAGCACATTTCTAGGGTTGGGTTGAAATATACATAATTTTAAAACTAGGATATGGCTGGTTATATTGGAAAATACACATTTGAAACATAATGATACCAACAGAACTAAAAATGAGATACCTGAAATTCCCTCTGACCTTATACAACTCAGGCACTTAAATAAACCTGTGGTTTCCTGTTGCAGCACACTGGTACCTGTTTCATATCCATTATGAACATATACTGGAATTCTTCTTCAGTCAGTACTTACTTCAGTCTGACTTTGTCTGACCTGTCAGTGTGATAACCCTCCAGCAGAGTTTCCAGGCTGGCCAAACATTTCTTTGAGTAGAGCGGAGGCTCCTTTTCGTATCCATTAAACAGTGGACGCTTACGGCTCAACCTGAATAAAAACAGACGGATTAACATAGGATCAGAGGACAGTGTCTGTACAGTTTCTGTTAGAAATGAACAAAAATTCTGTAGGCTTCATGGGCCATCGGTGGACAACATTTTGATGGGGACAAATGAATTTAAAAGCCTATCCAATGCCTTCAGCTGTTCAAGCACAGACAAATGTCCAATAAAAGTCACACACATTTTAGGATGCAAGGAAACGTCTCTTAGCCTCTCTTTGAGGTTTTTGTCAAAGTAATAACTAAGTTCTCTACTCACATGGGAAGTGCCATCCAGACTCCTCAGCCCAGGTAAAATATGTTCCTCTTGTAGGGTGAGTCATGTATATGACCGATTTGATTTCAAAAGAGACAGTTCTGACAAACTAAGCAACAGCAAAAAGGTTACATTCTCAATACGTTTGCTCAGACAACTGCTGGGTAGTTTGTGACTGTCAACACTAAGCTCCTCCCATTGGTAATGCTCTCGCCCATACAGATATTACCTCACCTGCTACTGTTGAGGTACATTATTGCCTCTAGCAGCCAAGCTGCACAATGTGTGTTTGTGTCATCAACAGGCATCCTCAGTGCTTTTTCTTTTTTCCAGTTTAGCAAGTTCCCAGAAGTATGCAAAAGAAAGTCCACTTTTCTTCTGAAGTGCAACAGTTTTTGCCTTATGAAGTGAAAGAAAATGTGGACAAATGTCTGAGATGCTTCTGGTTCATTTTATTGGTTAAAGTGATTCATGGAAGCTTTCAAGTGATACATACTTGGCTTCAGTTCACAGCTGTGTTGCCCTGAAGCAAAATCTATTCAATCATAATTACAAAATTAGTCCTGCATTTACATGGCTGAAAAAGTCCTGCTATGATCCCAAATGTCGTGCGTATGTGTAAAGCCTACCCTGTGAGGAAGAAATTATTATAAAGCAATTTTTTTGTTACTCTGTATTGGAATTTTAAACTTTATTTATGTAGTGTGTTATTATTTTTATAAACACACTTGACCCCTTTGTGTTAAAAAAAGGATTTAGTTTATTATTATTGTTAAGACAGGCCTGTACTATCACTCTGATGAATGAAGTATGAGTACAATAATCAAACTGACGCAGTTTATCTACCCTTGTAAGGCTGTTTGAAACTGAAGTTGTTGTTTTCTTTTCTGTCTGTCCAACAATTACCTAAAACAAAAAAACAAAACAAAAAAAAAAGACAAACAAATGTTATGGTACACTGAAATAAGAGTGTGATATATTAAAACCATTTTGACCTCATCAAAACAACAACTATGGAAGTCTGGCGCCTTTGGCTTTTTATCATCATCATTGCCGGGTTTTTATATGTTTGCAACACCACAGCAAACTGTACTGACATCAATCTCCTTTGTGTTTTCTTTTGGCTTTTGTGAAATGTTGTTGTAGCTGATTGAGGTAATCATGAAGAGACAGTGTAAAATTTAAAACAAGGCGTGTGAATACATGAGAGAAGACTGTCGCTATAAACAGAGCCAGAGTAACAAGTTAGACAGGATGTGGGTTTTAACATGCTGAGAGTGTTTCGTTTTTTGACAAAGTAAATGTGGAGGAACTATTTAGATATTTTACTGAAATAAAAGTAAACATTTTCAAAAAAGTATAATCTATTTGATCAATTGATTGTTTGGTTGGTAAAAAATCAGGAAGATAGGGACACTGAGTGACACCTTCACAAAGCTTGTTTTGTTCAACCAATAGTCCCAACCTTAAAATTATTAAAAATACATTCAAATTACTGAAATAATTCAAAGGTAAATCAGCAAATCGTCAAATATGTGAAGCTGGAACCACTGAAACAATTATCAAAATAATTTTTTGTCAATTGAGTAGCCAATTGATTGACTAATCATTTCAGCTGTTCTACTGTTGGCTAGCTTAATTTATAAGAAAACATCATATTTTATAATCTCTTCATATGTTTTGTAAGCAAAAATAATTAAATTGTAAAGTAGTAACTAAAGCTGTCAAACAAATGTGGTTGAGTATAATATTATATACGTATTATGTCTGTCTGTCTTTTGACCACTTTGGTTACGATTGAAATATCTCAATAACTATTAGATGGACTGCCATGAAAATGATGGTGCAACAGAGTGGGTAAAATAAACTTTTGAATTACCATGTGGGAATTGCCCCCTCTAGTGGTGACTTTATCTCCACTTCTCCCCTATTATCTCTCCCCCCACCTGAACTCTGCCTCACCTCACACTGACTTTGGGGCAATCAGCCCAGATTTGCCCTTTTTTGCAGTCCGACACACATCATCATAGAAACAGAAGGGAAGCTACAACTCCCTTAAAACCGGTGAGTGAGATTTAGATTTTTGATAACAGTATCCACTTATCTTCATGTAGTATAACCATACAGTTATAATAATCTCCAAACAATTACATAAGTGAAATTAAAATGTGCAAGACTCCTTCATTAATTTACCTCTATACAAAATATACAAAAATCCTCTGGTGTAAGATGCTACCAAAGTCATTCCCGAAGGTTACTTGTGGCTTCATCAACCCTGCCAGACACAAAGGTTTTACAGTGTATTAATCCTGCAACAAACAAGGGTGTCGGCCCTAATCAGAATTGCTGTCATCAGTTTACCGTCAGCACTCAAAAGACCAGTAGGCTATTTCCTGTTTTGTAAAGGAGCCGAGGCCTGAAATTGAAGAAACCGACTACCTGTAGCTCTCTTCCCTGCTCCACTCTGTCCACTTTGTGAAGGATAAGGTTGAGGGA